TGAATTAACTGCTACACTGTAGAGTTCACCAGTGAATTAACTGCTACACTGTAGAGCAGTGAAGTGAACTCTACAGTGTAGCAGTTAATTCAGACAACATATGACAGTGGTATGACATAATGAATTAACTGCTACACTGTAGAGTTCACTGTTGTCTCATACCACTGTCATACATAATGAATTAAATGCTACACTGTAGAGTTCACTGTTGTCTCATACCACTGTCATACATAATGAATTAATTGCTACACTGTAGAGTTCACTGTTGTCTCTTACCAGTGTCATACATAATGAATTAATTGCTACACTGTAGAGTTCACTGTTGTCTCATACCACTGTCATACATAATGAATTAATTGCTACACTGTAGAGTTCACTGTTATCTCATAACACTGTCATACACAATGAATTACTTGTTACGCTGTAGAGTTCACTGTTGTCTCATAACACTGTCATACACAATGAATTACTTGTTACGCTGTAGAGTTCAGTGTTGTCTCATACCACTGTCATACACAATGAATTACTTGTTACGCTGTAGAGTTCAGTGTTGTCTCATACCACTGTCATGCACAATGAATTACTTGTTACGCTGTAGAGTTCAGTGTTGTCTCATACCACTGTCATACACAAAGAATTACTTGTTACGCTGTAGAGTTCACTGTTGTCTCATACCACTGTCATACATAATGAAGTGCATTTCTACTATTTTGATCAAACCTGTTATTCTAATTTTGTCCAAGCCAAGTTTCTGCATGCTATGAAATCTTTGAAATATTATACTTGGAACAGGGCATCTTGTCCAAACCATAATGAAGTTTTTGTTTAATCATAAACTAAATCACTTGTTAAACATCTGAATCAGAGATTCTGTCAAGTGTTTATCTTTCAAGAGCCTTCACCTTAGCTTCTTGCACTTTTAAAGCTAAACCAGAGAAACTCTACAAAACTGTTTGACATACAAGAAATTAGAAATCCCCCTGTCTTTATTCCGTATCATTTAAATGAAATCCTAAAGAGGTTACACTTGTCTGAAACATAATTAAGCAAATTATTATAAATGAAAGAATGTGGGAATCTTCTGCACCTTTCCTATTTTATCATCAGATACAAGAAATATAATAAAAATGGCAAAGTCAATGAATGGTATTGTTACCTTGATTTTGAGATATAAATTCTTTTGTAAAAAGACTACTGTTGAAATGCAAATTAGACCTTTTTTTCACTATTTTATTCACAGTTCAATAAATTTATATACATACGTGCACATTTGAAACAGAGACATGTAAGAAATTCCAACAGTTATGCTAATTCTAGTTATCTAAGGTTTATAAAGCAATGTTTCTCATGTCTGTTTTATCTTTTCGCATGTTACCTATCTATCATGCAAAGTAATATTCATCTTAAGATTAAAAATACTTTTATGCATCAGAAAATTTTGAAATTTCACATGCAAAATCTTTATAATGTCCAGATAGTTATCAAATGTATCTTAAGAAAAAAACTTTATATTTTATCTGTTATTTTCAGTAATTAATCTGTGTACAGGTTCAGTAGATTTCGCCAATCTCGCAACTGCCATAAAAAATTAGGAAATAAGTATAAATTTTGCCTTTTTCATTCTAGAATGAACACAAACAT